GCTCACGTCTGCACAACGTCATGAGGCCATTGGGATGGTCCGTGGGGGAATGTCTCAACGACAAGTGGCTGCACATTTCCACTGCCATCGGAACACCATTTCTGCACTGGTGAGACGCTAACAGAACACAAATGACGTCATCGATCGGCCACGTTCTGGACGTCCACGTGTAACAACGCCAAGACAGGACAGATGGATAAGGGTGACCCATCTTCGCCACAGGTTTCAGACTGCAGTGATGACTGCCCGAACCATCCCAGGACTTCGCCGTATCAACCCCAACACAGTTCGACAACGTTTACGTCATCACAGGATCAGACCACGACGTCCCACCATACGGCCTATCCTGACACAACGTCATCGACAAGCTTGCCGAATGTGGTGCCGAAATCATGTCCGCAGACCTTTGTTTTGGTGGAGAAATGTTGTTTTTACAGATGAGTCCAGGTTTAACATTTCCCATAGTGATGGACGTCAACGTGCCTATAGACGCGTGGGGGAACGTTATGCACAGGCCTGTGTCTTGGAGAGGAATGGCTTTGGTGGTGGTTCCGTGATGATTTGGGGTGGAATAACAGCACGCCAAAGAACTCCTGTGGTGATTGTTCAGGGCAACTTAACTGGTGTGGGCTACAGGGATCAGATTCTTCGACCTGTGGCAATTCCTTTTCTGCAACGTCATAGCCCTGAGTTAACATTCCAACAGGACATTGCCCGCCCTCATACGGCAAGGGTTGCTTTGGATTTCTTGCAACACCACAACGTTGACTTACTGCCTTGGCCTGCAATTTCACAGGATCTCTCCCCGATAGAGCATGTTTGGGACGAGATGAGTGGACGTCTACTCCGTCTTTCTCATCAGCCAGATAACGTCCTTGACCTTGCAACAGAACTTGAGAGAATCTGGCGTGACATCCCACAAGCCTTCCTTGCACGTTTGATAGGCTCTATGTGTCGTCGATGCACTGCTGTTCTCAATGCTGATGGTGGACATACCCGTTATTGAGCTTGTGACATGGTCGTTTGACCCCTGTTCCGCTTGTTGACTCGTGACGTCATTGTGATTGACTTTTCAATTGAAATTCTCCCGACTTGTTATGGTCTCATGATCCCTCCATTAAAGTTTATATGTACCTTTGACATTGTTATCGTACTTATCAACTGGGATAATATTTTGACAATGCACAGTTTCTTGATGTTGCTAGTATATATTGAAAAATGGTCTAAGTGGGACTTTTTTGTCCAAGCCAATTGCAAAGCCATCAGTAATGCCGATTTCCCATTTAACGCTAAATGTGAGTGCTCTTGTTAAATTTAAAGATGGATTCATCAATATATTCTGAAACAGCTTACGCGATTTCATTAAAATAATACCATGTTTCATATTGTTTAAGAATTTCACATTTGAAAATTGTAAATGGTTCCAATTAGACGCAACTGAATATCTAAACAAACACAGTAATATTTAAAACGTATAAAACCCATATGAAATCGTGGTTATCATATTCGTCTAGAACATTCAGTGTTAATTACCAATCACAGGGAACCCCACAGACGGGCACCAGGTATGTGTTCATGTCTACGCCATGGCAAACGTTGTGCCCGTTCGTAATCAGGAGTCACTCGGCTCATGGTATGAAGCGTACATAAAAGATTCACCACATCACCGTCCTTCAGAGTCTGTGTATACCCAGTTGAAGGCTACCCCCTTCTTTGTGGCTTCAGTTCTGTCTCGACATATCCCCTTACCTTTACCAAACAGGTTGCCAAGGTAGTTCCTTTGTGGAAATTCAATTCATATATCTCGCTACATATCCCACTTACCTTTACCAAACAGGTGTGCCACAAGGTATGATCACAGGGATCAGATCATATATCATAAACATCGAGGCAATACGTTACACATTCACGTCTGGCATACCTGCCCTCGGTCAGTTCAGTATGGGCTACTAATTTCATACTTCATTCGCTATCGTTCATCACAGTGTACTCAACAGTGGACTTAACTATATGACTAAGTTCAAACGGTGTACAAACACGGTGTGACAAAGAGTACATCACAGTGGACTAAACTATTGACAAAGTTCATCACGGTGTACTACTAAACATCACGGTGTACTAAACAGCTATTGACAAAGTTCATCACGGTGTACTAAACAGCTATTGACAAAGTTCATCACGGTGTACTAAACAGCTATTGACAAAGTTCATCACGGTGTACTAAACAGCTATTGACAAAGTTCATCACGGTGTACTAAACAGCTATTGACAAAGTACATCACGGCACCCCACATGTTGAAATGGTCTCTGAAAGTCCTCAGATTGTATAATCTACCTCTCATAGAAAGAACCCGACGAACGAGACGAATCACTTCAGGCATCCGATCAAATTTGGTCTTAGACCTAGATCTCAAAGATCGAGCATCGTGATCCCCGATTTAAGACACAATTTAGTCTTTGGTCTTAAGTCTAAATTTTAAGAGTTATGCCAAAATATGGACTTAAGGCAGTTTATGATCCCGGGACAGGTTGCCCAGTCCAATTGCAGACAGATGACGCCACGACTCCCTACCCGCTGTAGACTGAAACATGTCTTTGGAGTGAACATAAGAAATGAACTATCTTCACAGCTTAAAGATAACATGCCATTAGTCGTAGCACGTTTTGTCTGGTCACAAAAATACGCAATGGACGTTTACAATCCCTCAAACTAATGATATTATTTATGAAACTTAAGTCGGATTCAGAAAAGGATATACCACTATCGACAACACCTTTACCCTTCACGGAATGATAGGAAAGTAATTTATCAAAGTCGGAGGACGTTTTCACTGAATTTTTGTTGGTTTATTATGCCAAGAGTAGTTGACTGTGTCCATCATAATCACCTGTGGTGTCTGCCTCGATGAACTATGGTATTCGTGGACGAGTCTTGAACCTTCTGGAGAGATATGTACTCAAAACTTAGCTGCTGTGTGTTAGAACTGGAGCTTGACTGAGTGATTCTTTCACATGCGATACGGAAACGCGCCAGGGCTGTATGCTGATTCCCTAACTGTTTTCACTGGAATTAATTAGTTACAGAGATGGAAGATTCAAAGTGCAGAGCCAACAAGCAGAAAAAGCATGTTTTTCACTCTATAACTTTAACTCAGTATGTGGCGGACTTCCTATTATACAGCATCTCCACTCTTCGACAGCATCGTGCTTACGAAACTTATGGCTCGGAAATCTGGGAGTATCAGACTTACAGAACTATTGAAACATTCAAACAAAATACTTCAAAAGGATTTTAAAATTATCAAATTCATCTTGTAACGCCGCTGTTCTTGAATATTGTGGACGACATTCTATATATATAACGTAAATAATGTAATGTATCCCATATTGGAGCAAATTAATTATCATGAACAACAGAAGGTTACCAAAACAGCCTTACCTAATGCTATATCAACTTGATCTTTCTAAACGTATTTCATGGGTATCATTCTTAAAGGACATTTTACATATATTAGGATTTGGAATCGTATGGATAGCTCAAGATTTTGGAAGCCGTGAAAACTCTGTATCAGAAGTCAAACAACGCTTCAAGGATATCGGCCTGCAACAGTGGCGCACTACATTGCTGAAACTTCAAGATTAAGTTTATACGTAACCTTCAAGTCATTATTAAATGTGGAATCTCCTATCTCATCACTGTATAAGGGGCAGGTTTATCGCCAAGCTTTAAGTCGTTTTAGATGTGGTAATCATAATTCAATGGTAGAAGTTGGACGTAGAACTGGTATTGATGTTGAATGTAGATTATGTACTCACTGTTCATGTTATGGATCAGGGATTTGATTATATTGAAAATGAATTTCACTTTTTATTGGTATGTACAGCATTTACTGATTTACGGAAAGGTATTTTAAATAAATGAAACTATAACAGGAATCTTTTACTAACTTAATGAACTCAAATTGTCAATCAACTATTTTAAATCTTGGTATATATAGCTTTTAAACTTGATGGTACACTGCATCAATAATTGTAACAGTAGTGAAACGTTGTACTTCTTCATATGTTGTATACCATATCAGTACATATCTAGTCAATTGTGGGACAAGTGTTTATATGAGGCTATGTAAATTAGATGGTTGTGTATTGTACAATTGTATTGTCCTATAGGTATGTGACCTCTTTGATAGAAATATTTATTGAAATGTAAACATGCTTGGATTATTAACATGTTCAGAGTGTCTATCTATTATCCGGTGCCCTAATAACATTTTATACCTGCACGAATTACGTATAATCCGGAGATAGTGCAGTGGCAGGAAAGTTATAAGGAAAACGTAAGTGCATATTATCCGTAACTGATAAATGAAAAGAAGATTATATTGTTTTCAAGAAAGAATAAAATATTCATATGTTTTTTCAGTAATGACACATCAAGAGGCTGTTGATTCGGTGATGATGGTATGTATACGATATGTCATTTAGAGCATGCACGCACGCACACACACACGCACGCGCGCGCGCGCGCACACACACACACACACACACACATTCTCAAAAAGCTGTATCCGCCCCTGGATGTTCATGTTAAACGTCGCCATGGTATCTCCGGCTACCAGCACAAGTAGCCACGCACACGCACACGCACACGCACACGCACACACAAAAACAACACACACGCGCACGCACGCGCGCACGTACACACACACACACAACAACAACACACGCACGCACGCACGCACGCGCGCGCGCGCGCGCACACACACACACACACATACAAACATACACTGACTCTTGCACTCGACGTTAAATCCCATTTACCCCAGGTTTCCTGGTATGCAGGCATAAATACGTGCAGGTGATTTGTAACTCGCGACAACTCTTCTCCCAGCACAACGCAGGCGCGCATTGCAATAGTAGGGTTTGACGTCCCCAGCTGTCGCGAGCTTTCACTCGCGTTGCCAGTTCAACTCAATCATTTTACCCCACATACAAGATTGAAAGGTTTACTATTAATAAGTTCCTTCCGAGGTAACACTGGCGTTTTCACAAACTGGCTTGTCGAGTTCCAACCACGTGACTACCCGTAAACTCAGCATGCGATGCATCCTCCGCTGTTGTGAATGGTTTCAGTGTTGTTAGCTCCAGGCAGACGATAGGTATAACCAGACGATAGTTCGCAGCAGACGACAGTTAAGACCTCCTCATCGCTTTAACCTTTTCAGCTTTGGAGTGAGCTTTGGAGTTATCATTTCTGACTCTTGGATATCTTAAAGAATGGCGAGTGTATTTGGAGCTGCGGCTATACCCTTTGTCGCATGCATAGCCCTCCTTTTGGCGGAATCATTGCAGATCCTGTCTTTCGCAGCTCCGTACTGGGCGTCGGATCGCTTCGGTTCGTTTGGATTATGGAGACACGTGAAGTGTGTTGGAGGCTCGAACATTGACTGCTTCCAGTACGAATATCCGTGGCACGTGGATGGTGAGTTATTGTGCGCATACAGCTTATAACAGACGACAAACGACATAGTGTCGATGTCTGGTATATATAGTTTATATGTAACAGTATTCTCAAACAAACATTCCTCTTACCAAAAATAATATTTTCGCTGCTTTTCCCTAGTATTTGAACATATGACCTATATTTATGTTTTTCTTTGTATACAATTTAGAATCCTGTAGAAATAGAGCTTTGCTGTCACTGTTAGTGTGTTAACTGTTTCCAACTTCAGTTTGGACGACTAATGAACATAACAAGTCCTGTTTGAACTTTTCCTTGTCAGTACTGAGAACAGACAGCATCGAGAGATGCTCCCTCTCAGAGCATAATCATTCATTTGTACAAGATGTCTAATACGCCCCAAATCGTATAGCGTTTTCCCGACGCCAGCACATCTTCAAGCATCGTCACGGGTCAATGATCTGTCGTGTGCTGTAAAAGAGTCGTTATTGTTGTTCTGTGAAAGTAATAGAGGGTATGTCTGCTTCATCCACAAACGACCTGCTTGCTTCGTCAGTATGGTTATGATGATGTATGTCTTGATGTCTACACTCCTCCTTTCGTCAAACATCTTAACAGAATAACTGCCTCCTTGTCTTCTGTCCACCCCGAAAGTGGCAGTCGGACAAGGCCACGTCTATGGCTGGATGGTTCCTTTACATTTAAAATACAGAGATATAACTCCATTCTCAGAAATATCTGCCAAAAGCAGGGTCAGCTGTACAATTCCCACTGACAAAAAACCCGGGTCACATGTAACCTCGGAACATGTAACACTGGTCAAACACTACCACCTGGCCACATATAACACTAGTCAAACACTACCACCTGGCCACATGTAACACTAGTCATACACTGTCACCTGGCCACATGTAACACTAGTCATACACTGTCACCTGGCCACATGTAACACTAGTCATACACTGTCATCTGACCACATGTAACACTAGTCATACACTGTCACCTGGCCACATGTAACACTGGTCATACACTACCACCTGGTCACATGTAACACTAGTCATACACTACCACCTGGTCACATGTAATACTAGTCATACACTACCACCTGGCCACATATAACACTAGTCATACACTGTCATCTGACCACATGTAACACTAGTCATACACTACCACCTGGCCACATGTAACACTAGTCATACACTGTCACCTGGCCACATGTAACACTAGTCATACACTGTCACCTGGGCTCCACATGTAACACTAGTCATGTCACACTAGTCATACACTGACCACATGTAACACTAGTCAGTCATACACTACCGTCACCTGGCCACATGTAGTCATACACTGTCACACACTAGTCATACACTGTCACCTGGCCACATGTAACACTAGTCATACACTGTCACCTGGCCACATGTAACACTAGTCATACACTGTCATCTGACCACATGTAACACTAGTCATACACTACCACCTGGCCACATGTAACACTGGTCATACACTGTCATCTGGCCACATGTAACATACAGTTGTATTCTTTCAAGGATTTTTAATTTACCTATGGTACTAACATCAAGTACAAGTTCAACTTGTCTTGCCAGAAGGCGGTCTCTGTGTACACGATATGTCATTAACTGGTCATGTCGACATGCGGATTCATTAAAGCGGCCAGTGTCCACTTCTCCGGTAATTGGGATCCATTAACGATGACATATGACCTGGCGTGGACTGGCTTGTGTCTCCATGTACACATAAATAACCGACGCCTGACATGCATTATACATAATTATCACTCAGTTTCAAATATGAAAGTATCTAATTGAATCAGGATGTCTGATGTTTGTCTATTCCTGTGTGCTGTAAATACGTCCATATCGTGACCGCCGGAGAGTGGTCAGTGCCACATGTACATGTATTGTTTACAGCTGATTGTTATGGGTGTATACGGACAACAATAACGTCAAAACGGGTATTCTTTATCGAATCCGTGAACGCTTTTAGACTTTAGGCAGCTGTACCAGCAGAATATCAACTCAGCAGCAACATATAATGGTGGATGACAAGCACTGGTGGACGCAATGCCTCATATATTTCAAAGTGATCTGGAGATCCTATTGTTCAAACGAGCCTATGACCTGCGCCTTTGAGCAAATTTTGGATTAAGGCGCAATACAAATATGAACTTTATTATTATTATTATATACTTCCCCTCAAAAGTTAAGACTCACTAGTGAAAATATAGCCACTTACTTCAGGCAACTGTTCTAAACTAAATTTTGAAAAATATTCCATACTGTTTAAAGGTACTGTTTACACATGAACTGATGTATTGTAAAACAAATTCGTACAGTTGAAAAGATTATTGTCATGAGTTCAAGAAATGATAAAACTGAGTGAAAATTGGCGAATCCTTAACAAAACCTTACACCAAAATGCAGCTGTTCCCATGCATATGTGCACATGCTTTTCAGCAATCTGATGCATGGTCCTCTTGCAATTCATCTGCATAAAGTTTGCAGTTGGTCCCCCAAAGTTAGTGGAGAAATCAATCATATGGTGAGTGTTTTCAGTGAGTCAAAACTTTTGATGGGAAGTATATATGTTACCCCATCAAGCTGCTGCTGTCAGTACCGACCTGTAGGAACATGTGGATAAATCAAGGTATGACGCTTGTCACAACTAGGACCTCGTCTGCGTAATACTCATCAGGACTATAGGTGGTTTGCTGCTGTATCTATAGTCCTGAACACCCGCTGTACAACAAGCCATGTGTCGTGTAACACCCAGGTGTCGGCGGTTTGCTGCTGTATCTATAGTCCAGAACACCCGCTGTACAACAAGCCATGTGTCGTGTAACACCCAGGTGTCGGCGGTTTGCTGCTGTATCTATAGTCCAGAACACCCGCTGTACAACAAGCCATGTGTCGTGTAACACCCAGGTGTCGGCGGTTTGCTGCTGTATCTATAGTCCAGAACACCCGCTGTACAACAAGCCATGTGTCGTGTAACACCCAGGTGTCGGCGGTTTGCTGCTGTATCTATAGTCCAGAACACCCGCTGTACAACAAGCCATGTGTCGTGTAACACCCAGGTGTCGGCGGTTTGCTGCTGTATCTATAGTCCAGAACACCCGCTGTACAACAAGCCATGTGTCGTGTAACACCCAGGTGTCGGCGGTTTGCTGCTGTATCTATAGTCCAGAACACCCGCTGTACAACAAGCCATGTGTCGTGTAACACCCAGGTGTCGGCGGTTTGCTGCTGTATCTATAGTCCAGAACACCCGCTGTACAACAAGCCATGTGTCGTGTAACACCCAGGTGTCGGCGGTTTGCTGCTGTATCTATAGTCCAGAACACCCGCTGTACAACAAGCCATGTGTCGTGTAACACCCAGGTGTCGGCGGTTTGCTGCTATATCTATAGTCCAGAACACCCGCTGTACAACAAGCCATGTGTCGTGTAACACCCAGGTGTCGGCGGTTTGCTGCTGTATCTATAGTCCAGAACACCCGCTGTACAACAAGCCATGTGTCGTGTTAACACCCAGGTGTCGGCGGTTTGCTGCTGTATCTATAGTCCAGAACACCCGCTGTACAACAAGCCATGTGTCGTGTTAACACCCAGGTGTCGGCGGTTTGCTGCTGTATCTATAGTCCAGAACACCTGCTGTACAACAAGCCATGTGTCGTGTAACACCCAGGTGTCGGCGGTTTGCTGCTATATCTATAGTCCAGAACACCCGCTGTACAACAAGCCATGTGTCGTGTAACACCCAGGTGTCGGCGGTTTGCTGCTATATCTATAGTCCAGAACACCCGCTGTACAACAAGCCATGTGTCGTGTAACACCCAGGTGTCGGCGGTTTGCTGCTGTATCTATAGTCCAGAACACCCGCTGTACAACAAGCCATGTGTCGTGTAACACCCAGGTGTCGGCGGTTTGCTGCTATATCTATAGTCCAGAACACCCGCTGTACAACAAGCCATGTGTCGTGTAACACCCAGGTGTCGGCGGTTTGCTGCTATATCTATAGTCCAGAACACCCGCTGTACAACAAGCCATGTGTCGTGTAACACCCAGGTGTCGGCGGTTTGCTGCTGTATCTATAGTCCAGAACACCCGCTGTACAACAAGCCATGTGTCGTGTTAACACCCAGGTGTCGGCGGTTTGCTGCTGTATCTATAGTCCAGAACACCCGCTGTACAACAAGCCATGTGGCGGTTTGCTGTAACACCCAGGTGTCGGCGGTTTGCTGCTATATCTATAGTCCAGAACACCCGCTGTACAACAAGCCATGTGTCGTGTAACACCCAGGTGTCGGCGGTTTGCTGCTGTATCTATAGTCCAGAACACCCGCTGTACAACAAGCCATGTGTCGTGTAACACCCAGGTGTCGGCGGTTTGCTGCTATATCTATAGTCCAGAACACCCGCTGTACAACAAGCCATGTGTCGTGTAACACCCAGGTGTCGGCGGTTTGCTGCTACTACCCAGGTGTCGGCGGTTTGCTGCTATATCTATAGTCCAGAACACCTGCTGTACAACAAGCCATGTGTCGTGTTAACACCCAGGTGTCGGCGGTTTGCTGCTATATCTATAGTCCAGAACACCCGCTGTACAACAAGCCATGTGTCGTGTTAACACCCAGGTGTCGGCGGTTTGCTGCTATATCTATAGTCCAGAACACCTGCTGTACAACAAGCCATGTGTCGTGTTAACACCCAGGTGTCGGCGGTTTGCTGCTGTATCTATAGTCCAGAACACCCGCTGTACAACAAGCCATGTGTTGTGTAACACCCAGGTGGCGGAAGCACTCTACCTGCTGTGATTCATCATCAAGTACTGCTATATCAAGAACAGCCTATTGTGAGGGCGACATTCCAACCTGCACATCTGGGCGAGGTCCACATTCTTCCATATTCAAAGCTGCACCCACCGTACTGTACCCTCATCTTGAGAACACTACCACCCTTCCCTACACCACCCCATCCCACTCCCAAACCCCACCCCGCAACC